AAGGGTTATGTCGATGAAAAAGTGCTGGAGCAACCACCGATATTCAGTTTTTAAGCTGTAACTTAAGCATTTGTGCATCTACAAATATCAATTTCAAGTGCACATCTTGAGAGACGTGTGATTAATTCAAGTTTTATTGTCAGCTCGAATTCGAGAAATACAATTACGATCTGGTTTTGCATCTATTCGCCACGACTACGACCGCGATCGCGAACATTAATACCCAATATTAAACTCGTTGTATGTGTGAAGGCTCATTGCCCCCAGGCGATCGACTGCCTTGATCGAAATTTCGGATCCTCGATGGATCCTAGTGTCTTTTCTTTTGGTCCCATTTTCGTTATCTCTCCATAGGCCCTACGGCGCAGGGTATCCCTCGAGCAAGCTAATTCTTCACTGTTAAGTCATTCCTTCGCTCGATATCGATTTCACTTTGTTATTATTTGCTTTTATTAAAGGCCCGATCTTGTTTCAGTTTTAATTCTCTCTCTCTTTCTGAGCCTTTTCAAGTTATTCGATACTCGAGCTATTCTCTGGATTATACAGGGTGTCCCGTAACTCCTCGAACACCCGGAAATGGGGGGTTGCTGGGGTGACTCTGAACAACTGTTTCCTTTACCAAAATGTTGTTTGAAGCTTCATTTTTGAATTATTAACGAAAAACACTAGCCAATCAGAGCGCGCGTAGAGCCCGCGCTCAGGGACGGTGCATACCAATGGTGCATACCAGGGACGGTGCAAAGTCAAAATTTTTTGACAGCGATCGATAACCGAGAAGTCACGCGTACGCATTTGTTCACGATCGCGCGCGGATGAGAGTCAGCGCTCCCGTGCCTGGGCGCGGGCTCTACGCGCGCTCTGATTGGCCAGTGTTTTTCATTAATAATTCAAAAACGAAGCTTCAAACAACATTTTGGTAAAGGAAAAAGTTGTTCAGAGTCATCCCAGCAACCCCCCATTTCCGGGTGTTCGAGGAGCACCCTGTATAAATAGTTATATAATTTGCTTATTATATCTGTCTCTTCACTTCGACATACAGGGTGTTCGGCAACTGCTGGTAGAAAATTTGAGGAGTGATTCTGGAAGCTGATATAAGATGAAAATATCATTGTAACCGAGCCAATCTCCCTACACCAACGAATATAGGGCACGTCAAGCATGGAAGGTTCGGTGATCCTGAGAACCAACGACGTATGGCCGGCACCTTATCTCATACAAGTCGTAAAGAAGAAGAACGTGCAATGTTGGAAAGTCCTTCAAACGTGTATTTCATTGCGTACTGCAAACGCAGGTAATTATGCAGAAAAGGGGATTCCTCGCCAATTTCAATCATCCTGAAATACGTTGTGAAGGTTATCGTTTTGAACAACTTTTTCCTATACATATTACCGCTGCTTGGTCTTAGTTTCCGGGATACTCTTATGAAATTTTCTGGCATAGGCGATCGCCTGACGACTGTTAGGCTTACGTTGGGTTATAAAGGAACAGCCTATGCCAGAAAGTTTATTGCGAATATCTCAGAAACTAAAGCCGAGTGGCGGTAAAACGTATAAGAAAAAGTTGTTTAGTATTATACCTCCGACAACATTTTTCACGGTCTTTGAAATCGGTGAGGAGTTCCCTTTTCTGCTTAATTACCCAAACGCAAAGTAATACTATGCACACAAAAAACACAACATACACAAATCACTGAAAAACAATCACTATATATATATGTATACTGTAATAATTACATACATACGAGGGGGTACCCAAAAGAAACCGAACTAATTTTTTGGTGGGCAGAGCTTTTGTAGTACCGCGTTTTGCTGCTAAGAGCGCATAGAACTAACATTCCTGAGTCGGTACGCCGAGTACCATCGCTGAAGAAGGTAAGGACTAGTTTCGGCAGAGTTTATAGCGGCAACTGTTTTGTGTGATCGTCGTTTTTGCAATGGCTGATTTTCGTGAACAGCGTGCGGTGGTGAAATTCTGCTTTTTTCTCGGAAAAAATGGAACAGAAACTCTTGAAATGTTAAAAACGGCGTACAAGGACGATGCTATGGGGAAAACTCAAGTGTTTGAGTGGTTTTCCCGTTTCAAAAACGGTGAAATGTCAATTGATGACAAACCTCGTTCTGGTCGTCCCTCCACGGCCCGAACACATGAAAATGTTGAAAAAATTCGTGAAATCATCGAGAAAGATCGACGACGGACCATTGAAGAAATTGTGGAGCTGTCGGGAGTGACTTGGAGTTCAGTTCAGCGAATTTTGACAGAAGATTTGGGAATGAAAAGGGTGGCTGACAAATTTGTGCCACGACTGCTGGCTGAGGAACAAAAACAAGGTCGCGTTGAAGCATGCTGTGCTTTGAAAGAAGAGTACCAAAATGATCAAAACTTTTTTTTGTTTCCTCGAATGAAAAGGGACATGAAACGAAAGCATTTTGCTGATGTTGCTGAGGTGAAGAAAAAAACGACGGAGACGCTGTCAAGCATTACAAAAGATGAATTTAAACAATGTTTTGAAAAATGGAATAAAAGATTAGACAAGTGTATTAGTGCAAGTGGAGAGTAATTTGAAGGGGATTGAAGGTTTGTGCTTAAAATTTGAATAAATAAGTTAAAAAAAGAATAAGTTCGATTTCTTTTGGGTACCCCCACGTACATGCGCGGACGCACGAAAGAAAAATTTTAAAAACCACGAGAACTGAGAAAGCTAAAGAAAAATAAATTAAATCTACATTATACGTACACTAAAACATAATAAATGACATTTGACCGATTATACCGAATTAAAACTAATTTACTTATTACTTTGCTGTATAATTTGAAGAAAGAGATGAAAATAAGTGTTATGTTCCATTATCGCGTCGAGTGGTTCTTCTAAGTTTCTTTTTCATTGACGAAATAATTCTGTTCTTTCAAAACTGTTGTGGCCTTTTACAGAAAGCAGAAAAGTCGTGAATGCCTTCGTAAAATTTACAACATCCGATTTCCTTTCGCAACAGTCTCAGTATCTGGAAGCACGGTTTTAAAGAAGGGTATGGCAATGGAGAAAGTGGAAACGATGTTTACCAGTTGCATCCAAAGAACGTTGGAATGTTAACGCTGGAAACTTTGGAAGGACAGAAAGATTTCGACAACGAAAGCGAAAATTTTGGGCAGCAATTCGATGCGATAAGCGAACATAACAGTTATTTTCATTTTTCCCCTTAAATTATACAGCAAAGTAATAAGTAAATTAGTTTCACTTTGGTGTATATACATAATCGGTTAAATTTCATTTATTATTTATTTTTCTTTAGTTGTTTCAGTTTTCTTTGTTTTTTCTTTAGTTTCTATTTTGTGCGTGAGCATGTGTATGTGAATATTGTAGTGTATAGTATAATAATTAGTTTTCAGTGGTTTGTGATGTGCATAGTGTACGTTGCGTTTGCAATACACAATAGAATGCACATTTGAAGGACTTTCCAGCATGAATCTGTGACGTGATGAAGCAAACGGAAGTGCAGCAGAAATCGGTAATGTCGTTTACAGCGTCGAATGTCTTCTTCTCTACGACTTGTATGAGATGAAGTGCCGGCCATATGTCGTTGATTTTCAGGATCACTGTACCCTCCATGTCTTAGCGTGACCTATATTCATCGGTGTAGGGAGGTTTCCTCTGCTACAGTGATATATTTAAACGTTAATAACAAAAAAAGTAGCCTCAAACGCAACTTCTTATGCTTCAATTTCATCTTGTATTAGTTTCTAGAATCATCCCATAAATTTTCTGTCAACAGTTGTCGAACACCCTGTATGTAGGACTTATCATAGTGTGAAACAGTATTCTTTAACGTTTGATTAATTTAATTTTCAGTTTTAATTCAGTTTAATTTAATTTAGGCTATTTAACTTACAATTAGCTTAACCTCTACCGCAGACGGTAGATGTTCAACCACGGCCACAAAATCTTACGTCTTAGCGTTTTAAAATTAAAAGAAAATTTTTAAATGACAATTCAAAATGAAAATTAAAAAACTTAACGTTTCAAAAGTTAAAGTGGAAGTACGCAAAGAACAAGAATCAAGGCTCGAGTTAAGGTGAAAGTGTACCAAAAAACGCCAACAGCACAATGCGAGAAAATTTTCAAAGTGCCTACAGGCGACAACAGCAGTGAAACGGTTAAGGTCACACATTTCGTCGCGCGTGCGATATGTGCAAGTGTTCGTAAAATATTATTTTTTAACTTTGTAGTGGTTATTTTTTAAAGATCGAAGTAGTGTTTGTTTATGTTTGTACACACTGAACGAGCGAGACAATCGCTGCGTGTGTGTACCGTAGTGACCAGTCAGAGCGTATGTTGCATGGATATTTGCTAGTTACACGCGAACAGAACAATTGCAATATGTGATATTTATGAGAAGATTTTGTAAATAAAAAGGTATTGCACTCGAAAATTTTATTGAGCAGAATCCGACATGCCCTTTTGAATTTTTGTAAGTAGACAGATATAATGTCGTTCGACGGTTCACATTGGATTTTCGTTGTAAAATCTTGCCAGAATAGTGTCAACCCTTACCACAGTTTCTACATATTATCAGGTAAAAGTACCATTTTTCGCTTCGTACAGCACTAACCTATCCATCGCGCGGCTCCCTTCTCTAGATCGGTGCATGAAAATTGCCTGTTTCAAAAAATAAAACGTCAATTACAACTATCTTATTCTCGATTTTCCGAACACGTCTTCTGATTAGCCGAACACCCTGTATATAACATGTAACGTTCTCGTGCTTCTAATAGTTGAAAAAATTATCGAATACATATATAAGTAATGCTTTCCAGTAATAATTACCACTAGAAAATAAATGTTTTGTTATTCAGTTATTTCTTCATTCAAATGATTACGCTCCTCTATTAATGTTTTGTATGATATGTCGGAACAAAGGAAGTCAAGGAATAAGAAAAATTAAACTTCAGTATGAAATCTTCTTCTTTGCGAAGTGAAAAGCGATTGCTAATTGCAAAATATTCACCACATCCAAGAAAAGTTGTCTGAATGTTTCCCTGTTGTAGCGAGCCATACCATTTGCCCCAATTATATGGGAACATTCCTCCAACGTGCTTGCTCTTCTCTTCTCGATTAAACATTCTTCTTCCATACGGCTAACGTCACTTTTCATTTCTTTTGCTGCCACTGTATTAAGCGATAAATAAATTTCTTCGCAATTAGAAAATGGTATTATGCACGCACATGAATATTTATACGAGAAAAGATTTAATCGTGAAATGATACGAAAGAATTTTCTGCACCGTCCACATTCGCGTTAAAAACTTTTTCTTTCAAACCTTAACGCTTTGGAGAAAGTTAACGAGCTTGACCGGTTTTACATAAATGTTTAATTGAATTCTCTCTCACATATTTATTGAAAATTTTCTATCGACACTTGGTACAAAATTTCACTTTAACCGAGGAGAAACGTACTTCGAAGAAGTTATACAAATTTTCTGTGAATTATACTTTTCTGTCGTTTATTCTGTTTTCTCGAGTTAGATGAAGGAAAGTGAACGATGATTAAGACAAACTCTTCGTTCAACATGCGAGTCGATTGACCGATAGTCACGGACTGACGAACGAAAGTATATTGGCACCAACGGATCACTAATTTATTCTGCAGAATGAATTTTCAGAATACGATGTATGATTGGAGGTAGAAGGAGAGGCATGGCTTTCGATTTCAAGAAAGATCTTGTGTTCAAATGGACAAACAGACAGAGACATAAACAGAATCAACCTTTCACTTCTTCATGAGTCATTTTTTCGTTCCATATCAAATCGCACACCTTTGCCGCTAGGTCACAGATGTGTCCCAAACTCTGCATATTTATTGGTAGCCATGGAAATTAACTGCTGTCAAATTTTAGGCTCCTATGTTGAATAGTTCGTAGAATATTAAATGTTGAAGTGTTGAAAAATTAAGTAAAATAAACTCAATATTTCCGGTTGACTGAAAGATATTAACTTGCTTTCGGGATCACTTTAAGTGAGAAAGAATGTTATTTTTAAATCTGCACTAAAAATGTCACTATTATTAATGTAAATAACAATATTCAATGTTAAAAGTTCAATTTTAGTTTTGACGCTATTCCGCCTTATATTATATTATTCCGCGTGGCTGTTTACGTGGCGTGGCTCACCCATCGACAGATGCGCGTTACTGCTTCGACTTCCATACACAAGTTAGTAAACTTACCATTATCTCTTAATACAGCTGAAACGTATACAGGGTGAACCGCGTGACGTGATTACATTAGACACGTAATGTATTCTGTTGTTAGTGGACTGGTCGAAATTTATTTTCTATCGCATAATATGGTTCAAAGAGGTCTTTAAGATGATTAAAGTACGTTTTTTTCGAAATTTTCAAGTTTGGCAAACATCATAAAATATATTATATTTTTTCCATTTGAACTGAAGAAACGACAAAAGAATATCCTAGTTGAAAGAATTTTGTACGATCTTAAAACACTGCAACAAAAATTCAGATGCTCAAGATCTATAAACCAACAAAACTGTAACATGTGATTTTCAAGTGTGATAGTAGTGATACAAAGTAACTGCTGTTATAACGTCCATATGACAGACGATATTGCCTAAAGTGTAGCCAAGTGAATATTTGCAATTTGTAAACATCAACGCTTGATAAAAAAAATAACAAGAATTCAGCATAACTAGGTTTTTATCTTAAAATTAATCCTTATAGTATAAAACCGTCAATTTCTTACAGATGGCTCTAATAATTTGATCACTGTATAGTGCGGTTTGATCGGGAACTGGATAATCGACGGTGCCTTAAATGAACCTAGTGGCAAAAAGTGTACGATTTGACTTGGAACGGCACATATTTTGTTCTGTCTTTCGTTCTCTTCATTTATTTTTCTCTGTTATTAAAGAATAGCTTCTTTAGCTTTTCCTTACCTGTTTATTCTTTTAGCACCTTACTTCTGCTCCCTTCTCTTTCAATAAGGAGCAAGAGTCACGCTTCAAGGACAAGGTTGCCATCTTCATTAATTTGTGATATTCTTTAGTCGAGAGAATTAATATGATTTCGTGATTTATGCTCTGACAAGGATGCGTCGAAGTTTTGAAGTTCATTTGCATAGTACCTTTCTTCAAAGTTTTTTTGGTTATTTCAATAGTTAATATGGGTTTACCTACAATTATAAACATACTTCATTAAACTATCATTTTTTATAATAATTCACAAGTTTATGTTTACTTGTTCAGTTTATATGAGTACACGAGTAGTAACAAATGATGACGCGATTATTGTAGTTTATATTATGCTCTGGTGAAGTATGAAGTAAAGAGGATATTATTAAAAAGAGATGTTCTATTTAATGTTTATATTATTTAATTCCTTTTGTATCCATATGAAGGTTAGGCAACCCGATAATTAAAGAAAGTATGAAACTTTTCGTGAATCATGTGATTCTGATACAAAGATTGATCTTTATTTCAAACATTTCTATGAGGAATATCATTATTTTATCAATTATAAACCGTGATTACTTACACAACTCTTCGATATGTATGAATATACAAAAAGAGAGTACATGTGTTTAAATAGTCATTTTATTAATAGAAACTGTTATATTGTTAAAATTAAATTTAATATTAATAATTTTCGACTAAATGAACTTAAAATAAATGTAAATTATTTAAGTGTTGCGGAGATGAAACAAGTTTATTAAAGAAAATTGCTAAAACGGTCTTCAAGTTTGATAACAATGGTTTTATTTATTTAAAAAAAAAGTGTAATACACACGTCATTTACAAATACGAAAAGAGGGTATCCAGAGGTATTTCACCATGTATAGTAAAAGAATTTCTTTTAAGGGGTGGGGAAACACTCGAAAACCATGGATTTAAAAAAAAAATTCTTAACGCAGCAAAGGATGCAACTTTTGTTTAAACTTTTTTTTAAATATCTCTCACCGTTCTTGAGATATTTCACGAAAAAGAAAATTTCAGAATTTTTATCAAGGGATGATTTCATCCCTTAAAATCGAATTATGGCACCAACGAAAAATAGGGTTATATTACGGATGACATACTTTACTTGTACGCAAAGTTTCATTACTTTTTGAATTTCAGGGTTGCCTAACCTTCCTTATCAGTAATTGTTAACTTTAGACCATATTTAGTATAACACATTTTACGCAACATTTGATACTTTATTGAAACCCTCGATGAAACATGATGTTCACCTATGCGTTGATCGTTTTTATGAGAGAAAGCTAGAAAACCTGGAGAAAAACTAGCATGCGTGTATTGTGGGAGAAGAAAAAGCGAAGGAAGAGTTTTTCCTTGCAAATAGAATCAGAGTTGTAGATAGAGTTGGAGTGCTGAAAGAGTCGCCAGAGTGTTGGAGAGAGTGTTGTATGAGTCGTCTAAGAGTTGTATTCTAAAAGTTGTAAAAATCATTTTATAGTTGTTGGAAATGCATAACTGTTGTCTTAGCGTTGCGAGTTGTGTCAAATTATTATTATATCCACTTATTATATTCAATCAATTAATTGTCATTACCGCGAAGCATCGTTGTAAACTGTTATATGAAAAACCCTTAAAAATACAGTTTCTTCGTAATAATATACATGTATCTGTGATTGAGAATTGTAGTGTATTTGTAAAATACAATTGTAAATAATTTGTTAAACGTTGTGCTACATGCCGAAAGAAATCAATGATCATTTTGTTCCAGTATATTTCGTGTAGTTTTCATATTATAATTTTGCATAAAAAGGTATTTATGAATGTATACAAGGTAATTTTATTTAGCTTTCTATTTGTTCTTGACAATACCACGCTACTTTGTATTTCTATTGTTATTATATAATTATTTACAGTTAAAATAGATTTTTATGTTCATATAAAACGGAACTATACATTTATTTGTTAAGTTTTTTAATTATGATCAAATAGACATATTATTTGGAGAAATAATAAAGTGTACATTGCACCAAATTTTGATATTAATAAGCAAAACTGTAAATAAGAAAAGTATTTGCATTTTGATGTACCTAGATACTTATAATATCGTGCATTATTTGATGTTACTAGATATACAGTAAGTACATTTACGAGAAGAAGATTCATAGATTTCGGAGAAAAAGGTCTTGCAGCACCTAGTAATTATGTAAGTACAATTTTTTTAATTTGTTGCGATTTTTGAACAGCATAAAATTTCTTGTTATATGTATTGCATAGGAAAGTTAAATCAGTTAGTAGAAACAATACCAGTATGTAGGTTTGAGAAATTGTTATATGAGAGGATACATATAACCTTTTAAACACGGAAAGACAAATATCTGAAATCTGAAATAATTTCGTATCGAAACTCGATTTTCAGGTTTGAATACGTTCGACTGCAAATTCTGCTTTTATCCATGCGTTTTACTCGTGAGTGGGAACACAGACAAAACTACAAAGTCGATGAATCGATATATACATATGTACATAGTCATATCTGAAAAAGTAAAATTACCCAAATGTGTGGAATTTACTTTAAAAAATATCCGGTTAAATGTTTGTATCGATGATTTATGTACATTATTTACAAGTAGATGGTCCGATAAACATGTAGTGCCTACAAAAATAAAAAAGAATACAGAAACTGAATACAATTTATCTCAAGAAATGATTAAAATACATTGAATCTTTGTGTATTACGATATATAAAAATAAAAATAATATTCATATTTGAGCCAAGTCTGTCGTTGCATGCGTAGTTGATTGTTGTTTGAAAGCGTATAAAAGTTTCTGAAAGATTATTTAAATAGCGAAATTTTTTAGCGAAGATAAGGTAAAACATATTACTTTTGCATAATGTATCATTAAATATATATGTTTTTGAGTCTTCTAAAGAAATTTACCGTTTAATTTTTCTTCTTCCTGGTATAATTATTATTTTTCTGTCCAAATACGTGTGTACCCAATATGGAACACCTTAAGTGTACCTAATATGGAACTTGTTTCATATTAATATTATACAGTTATCATTATAAGAACATTATATAACTGTACTACAACGTATTACATAGTTTTATACTATTATTATTTTTGGCAAAAAATATTTAGACCGCTATAATTTTGGTTACTCGTTTCAGTGTTCTCTTAGTCTTAAGCATT